GTCTGAACCCCAAATTCCACGGGTGAGAAACAGACCGCTGATGATGATTCATCAACTTCCATCATCCATGATACAATTTTTCTCGTTTCATCATCACCCAACATCTCCCACCATTGCATTTTTCTTTGCCTGATCCCGTTGAAGCTATACGATCCGAGTCAACAATCTCCACTTATCTTGCTTCCCACAACCCTGTCATGTTCCGATCTTCCACTGTCAAAATGTTCGCCAGAACGTACGCTGGACGACACGCAACAAACGCCATCTACCACCAATCCACTCCCACCACTGCGAATCTCCTCGCTTCAAACGTTACTACACGAGGAATGGCTGATTTCACCATGGCTCAATTGAAAGAACTTCGAGCATTGTCTGGTGCTCCAATGATGGAGTGCAAGAAAGCTCTTGGAGAAGTCAAAGGCGACGTCCAAGAAGCAATGGATTGGTTGCGAAAACATGGTGCCGCGAAGGCCTCTCAAAAAGTCAGCGGACGAGATGCTGAAGAAGGGCTGGTTTCCTGTACTGTTTCGGCGGATAGGAAGTCAGCTGCCATCGTCAAGATCTCATCCGAGACTGACTTTGCGGGCAAATCTCCAGCCTTTGTAAATTTTGTGACGCATGTTGCCAGTGCAACTCTGCAAAGCGGAGAAGCTGGAAGTATTGAGGCCGATAATGTACTCCCACTCGAGTCCGATTCTAAATCAGTTCAATTGGCTTTGGAAGAGGCCATGATTGCAATTCGCGAAAACTTGGGAATCTCGTCAGCCACCAAGTTAGTCACTGAAGATGGAATCCTTGTATCGTATGTTCATGGGCGCGTCAACAACTCGGATGCAGGATCGGCAGCAGCAATCGTGGAACTTATTGGAAGTGCTGATGAAGAAACTATGATAGATGCAGGAAAGAAACTAGCCATGCACATTGTTGCAGCCAAGCCAAGCTACTTGAGCCCTGAAGACGTCCCAGAAGAGGCGGTGAACAAAGAAAAGGAAGTGCTCGAAAGTCAGGTATGTTCTATATTTCGCATGGTTTTCAAATTGAAGAGGGTGTATTGCCTGTGTTGTGGGACTATTGCTAATTCAAATGTTTACTTCGGATCATTCAATGAATCAATTTTGGTACAACCAGATCGCTGGTACCAACAAGCCACCAGAAGTCATGGAGAAGATTGTCAACGGCAAATTGAGGAAGTTCTACTCAGAAGTCTGTTTGACAGAACAAGAACACATGGTGGAAGAGAAAACGACGGTTGCCAAAGCACTCAAGAAGCTTGGACTAGAAGTGAAACGATTCGAAAGTGCCTTCATCTAAATGTTAAAGCAACTACCTGACGATAATGTGGGTTATCAGCTTTGTCTTTGCTGCTTGTATTTATTTATTTCGCTGTTCCAGTCTTCTGCAACTCGTGAATGCCTCAATCAATTATCCTTTGCCATATTTGTACTGTACTGTAGCTTTTTCACTATTACAACGGGGTACCATCTGCTTCACATCGTCCTACCAATACTGTACTTGTATCGTTTCTTTGGGATTAGCAAACGGTTAGTTGGTCGCGCGTGGGCAATTGGTACTGCCATTTTTGCGTGTGGTTTACGTAGAAATTCAAAACACGATACCGTTAGGACTGTTCTGAGTGGCATCAAAAAACGGCTACATTTTGGTGTCTTTTTTTGTATGTGCCAACCACCATTGCACTGACGAGGAGGTACTCAAAAGTTGCGATACTCCACGATCCTGAGATTACTATTACAAGTGAGACGTGCAACTTCGATATCTAGCAGACAATGGAGAGAGAACGTACACCGCCAATCGCAAATACAAAGCGATGTTTGTTTCCAGAGGATGACTTGAATTCTCAGGTATCGTCGGATATCTTTCATGTTGGTTCTGTGGATTCTCCTTTGATGAAGGGAACTGAAAGTCACGATGATTCCCCGACGACTGTGCAAGCCTATCCGGTACATTCTGCGCAGAATAATACGTCAATCAAGTCTAGAATTGCGATGGGCGATCATGGAGCTGAGGTTCTGGTCGACATGTCTCTGCTATCAATTCACACGCCTGAGAAGGAAGAGACTTTTCGAAGAACCAATTCCCTTCTCGATACACGATCGTCTCCAGCGTTCAGTAAAGACGACTCTTTTGTATTTCACGTCGTCGAGGATAGTCCCTTCGGAAAGTGCTATCACAACTCCAACGGTTCTCCATTTGGCCTACAGACATCAATTGCCTTATGCCTTGGAGATGTGGAAGAAGATTTTCAAGCAGCTGCTTCAGGATGTAACAGCTGGGGACCTTGGTCATATTTCAGCTCGGGTGAGGAAAAAAATCAATCACTAACCAGCTCTCCCCCCAAGAATCGATTGACAAACAGAGCTTTCAATCAGGAAGCCAGAAAGATACGGATCCAGCACATTCGACGGGAATTGAATCCCTTCCAAAAATCTCCACAGACGCCGAAACAGTTTGCCAAGGCTCGATCGTTTTCAGTCACGAAGCAGGCCCTTAAAGAGAAAAAGGAAACGAGAAGATGTTCGAAGTCTCAAACCAGAATTGAATCTTCACCACCCTCCAGAGGTATATCCGATGTCATCCAACTGTGCACAATGCCTGAAAACGTGACCGCAAATTCACCCATGATCATTCGAAAGAACGAGGATTTTGAGCACGAAGAAAAGAAACTTGAGGTATTCTATGATAGTGATCCAGAAGATTTCACCAGAACTAGTCGACGAACTCTTCGAAAAAGAAATCGAAAAACGGGAGTCTACGAAAGAGGAGAATTTGATTCTTCACGTGGGCATTTCGAGGATATCTACAATGATGAAGTAATCTGTACGGTTTCCCAAGAGTTTGTCAATTCTAACTCGACTTTGATCTATCACCGAACAAATACAACGGGTTCTTCTCAAGTTGTAGTAAATGCGTGGGTAGAACGGGGACAAGACTTCGGTCAATCCCTTGTCCAACCAAAGTGGATGTGGAAGCCGCAATTGGAAGAGTCGAAAAGTCGTCAAAGTATGCACCAGGTCAACGCAGTTGATTTGCTAAGTATCACGCGCATTCTGAAGGTTGATCAAATAGACCGTTTGCTTTACCCCTTTGCTAAGCCTTCGAGTTGTTTCTTGGTGCGCACTGTTGATGGAGACGGCTTTCTCTTTGAAGCCGAATCAGAAATGGAAAGAGATCAAATGATTTATTCTATGAAGATGGTAATTGCCCGTTTTGGCGCTATGGTTCTCAATCAGGATGAAGCAATTCATGAAGAGTTCTTTGCAACATCTGAGCCTGTTCCAGGTGCAATACCAGCAGCCTTGGCTCGCATAAATTTCTAAAGATGGCAGAATCCGCGACAAATTTCACTGCCGGTTGGCAACTGTAACAATGGCTTAAGCGAAGCTATTGTTTATAATACAAAACGACGTATTTTGCTAATTTACTTTACAATCAAAGAAGAATTGTCTTGCCTCATAGACTTGATGGTTCCTTCTTCACTTCCAGTTTGTGCACTGGCGAACTTGGGGTAGATTCTCTTGTACAAGGGAAGACAAACTGTGTCATGTTGTTTGATGGGAGCGTTGAATAGGCACTTCATGGTACCGTGCTCACCGACACTCTGTTCAATCTTTCCATTCAGGCCATGTTTTGTGATAAGTCCTGCTGGTTTGAACCACTTCACATCTTCTGGATCGTAGAACATATACTTCACCGTTGCAAAACGCTTGTGAACACGGACAGGGTATCCTGTTAGGATAATCCTCTTCACAACAATCCGGTCGGCATCTGCGCTGATCATGGATCCAGTAGCAATAAGCTGCCTTCGTCCGTCTAAATCTCGGAACACAAGAATAGGGCAAGGTGTATAAGTGACCGGACCAAAGACACTTGCAGCAAAGAAGCTACCAGATTGAGGTAAGAATCTTTCGAACTTGTGCTTGTCACAGTTGAGATTGTTCTGAGAGAACACCGGGCGGCCAGTCCAAGTTCTCCAGCCACATCTAAAAGTCAAGACATCCTTACTCTTTACAGGTGTCTCGTTCGTAGCTTCACAATTGTTGCTATGACTTAGTCCCATGTGCAAGACCGATACCTTACCTTCGTGAGGCATAAGTGTCACAGCAGATAACAAAGCACCGGGTGCTATTGCACCATAGGCATCGGAATTGACATCTTCCAACGTAACAGTGATGTACGATCCAGATGGAACGCATCCCTTCAACATGTCGTCGTCGTCGTCCATGTCGATGTCTCCAGACATGTCATCAGTCTTGTTCTCTCCATTCCAAAAGTTCCCTCCCGAGGCGTTTGCAGCCTTTGCGAGATCCCTCATTTCACCCATGACTGCTTGCTGGGTTGCCTTGAAGCTGGAAAAATGAAAAATTGATGCATACGAATCTGGGAGGTTCTCCTTAGCATCCCATGGAGACTGTCGAAAGCTCTTTAGAGACCGATACCGTGCAAACCTATCCCTAGCCTTTTCGTCTTCCTCGACTTGTACCTCATCGGGGAATTCTTGGTGCTCCTTCTGTTCCTTTCGACGCTGTTCTTCTAATGCTTTCCTCTCCTCCTCCGAAATCCTGTTCGCATCATCAAGATCCATCGTGTTTGCAGCAACAGATTCTGAAGACTTTTTGTTCAGTTCTTTTGCCAATTCTCCGTGATCAAAATCGGCGTTAATTCCATCCTCATCAACGGCGTCTAACCAGGCAGACTGGTAGTCAGACCAACCGGCTGGTCTCGCAAACTCGTCTGCATCCTCTGGCGAATCTCCTGCATCGTAGAACTCTTCATCCTTCTCGTCGAATCCAACAAGATTCTGCTCTCCATCAAGTGCATCTGGGGTTGCAAACTTTTCCAGGGATTCTCTTTTCATCGGATCGACTTCAATTATGTCCTCGGAAATTTCCATTTTGCTACTGCAATTTGGTTGTCTCGCTCGAACTATCGACTTGCATCCATATGTGCCCAGATTAGGGATGTGGATCGCTGAATTGCTGTCAAAAGGTACACGGCCTCGAACATAGCCGGTTACTCTGAGCTCTTGCTTCTCTGGGTCATAGCTGTGACTATCTGATAGCATATAGGCTCTTGGAAGTTGTGATACCCATTTCGCAGGAGCTCCAGAAATGCAGCACAAGCCCCGAACAAGAGCAGCTGCAAGGGTCTTCTTCAAATGTTCTTCGGGATCTATTTCTGGCGTAGATCCTTCTTCTTCCATTTCGCCCTCTGAAGAAGTATCAACAAGATTCACTTCCATGGTCTTATCATTATCAACACCAAATTCGGTTGTTGCAAATCGACTGACATATTTCTTGAGATCAGTCCTTCGCTTGTGATTTGCACGCCGGATGCTCTTTGTGCTTTGAGTTGTCATATCATCTTCACCAGGCTCTTCCTCTTTCTTTGTCTTCGCCAAGACAGTCGCCACTCTCGGCAATCCTTGACCCTTCACTGCTGTCAGAATTCGATCACCCCTCTCACTGATGATGTGATCAAAATCCGCTGCTGTTGAAGTGCTCTTACTGGTACTAAGAGATCTATCATCAACACCTACATTCATTCCTACAAAGGGAGTGACCCCTTTATCTTCGTTGCCATCAACAACAAAAAGAATAACGTCGCAGACTCGACAAAGGTCGAGTGCCGACATGACTGCAGCATATTCACTATCGCCATTATCGTAATGGGAACGGAAAGCTGTCGAGTTCGTCAGAATTGTTAGATTCCCATCTTTCTTGTGAGTTTCAAACTTTAGCGTCATTGTCGAGTTGTTTCCGTCTCCAAAAGTTTTCATCACTCGATCAGCTTGTTCAGCGATAAGAGATCTTAGTTTTTCCTCTATGCCCTCACTTTCGCCCAAACTGATGATTCCAACGATTTTCGGAGGAGCTGGTCCGCCATCTAAGCCTCTTTTCTGTCGCAAAAGCTCTTGTCGTTTCGCATCCCGACGTTGCTGTTGAATGTGACGACGGTCGGCCTTGTTATGTGCTAGAAGACGTTGTTTGAATTGCCCACGGCGTCCCTCAACTTTACCCCCGGCAGCTCGCGTAACACTACGCTTCGACGCCCGGTTACGCTTATTTTTCTTGTTGGCTTGCTTCAAGCCTCCGGACCTGTGGTGATGATTCGGCATTCTTTCCAAACTAACAGAGGAATGCTTTATTCCAAAAGAAAAAATGATACCGGTTGGATGGAAATCCTGTGGGTTATGAGCTAAATGGTTTGTCGATTGAGTCGACTGCTCATCTTTGGTATTCTATACTCTATATCTATAGTATAAAGTTGGTTGCTTTCTGCTGACCCTCTCCATTAAAAGATGGCAACTACCATCCTTGTGAACAATTTGAGATTGTTCTAACAATCTCTTGCGTAGTTTAAATTGTGTCTTGAAACCGTACGTAATCTAGTCGCTTATCAAACAAAAAAAGGGTTGGACTACTAGTACTGGTACTATACCATGAAGCAAGCAATCAGAGTACATTTCAACGTCTATCGTTAATTTTCTATCCACTTCAATTTAAACCAGCTCGATGATGGCCATCTTTGCGTTGTCTCCTTGACGGGCAACAGTTCTCAAGACACGGGTGTATCCTCCTTGACGGTCGGCATAACGATCAGGGGCGGCTTCGAAGAGGGAATGGACAAGGTCCTTGTCGTACATCCATGCCATGGCTTGACGACGAGCGTGTAAGTCTCCACGCTTTCCAAGTTGGATCATGTGATCAACGTGCTTTCGGACAGCTCTGGCGCGAACCAAAGTAGTCTTGATGCGTCCGTGTCGGATGACCTCGGTGGTGAGGGCACGAAGCAAAGCCTTACGTTGATCAGCAGGCTTTCCAAGCTTGTTAAATCCCTTTCTGTGTGAGATCATTTGAAGAGATGACGAAGTGTCAACATTGGCAACTTGAACAGGTCGTCCAACGAAGTTGCTGTTTGAAACTATTTGAAAAAGAACAAAACGTTAGGACAAATTGATGATGGAGCTAACAATTGTTTCGTAAAATTGATCACAGCAGGAACGTGTGCTGGCGATATCTGATCCTGGAAAAGCCGATATCATCAGCATTACGACATAATATCCTTCTACAGTGCATCAAAGAAAAATAAATTGCATCAATAGAGTTCCACGGCAGCTGTTCCAATGTCAACGAAACTTCCACAGCTCTCGAAGTGTTCTGAAACATACCAAAACCAGCGGCAAGAGGAAGAAGGAGAAGGAGCGCAAAAACTCTCATTGTTGTGTAGTGAAAGAAAGGTATTGGGTTGATTGACAACTGTCAAAATCCTCTTCGTTGTTGTTGGTGCTGAGGTGATGGGTGATG